GCTTTCCAATATTTGGGAAACATTGGTACAAAATCTACACTTATTACTTTCAGGCAAGCAGGTTACATTTCCCATGTGCCAAGGAAATAATTATTCAACAGCTGTGAGTCAAATAATATTTCATAATGCCACAGAAGTAAATGTTTTGTGGCAATATGCAAAAACTCAGTCACAATGTGAACCTCACAAATAGTATATACTTTTAGCATCATCATCATCCCCAGCTAAAAGTTGTTATATATACAGAAAGAGAATACATGAGTTGGACAAAAAAAATAGAACATTTTTAGCAAAGTTTTGCAAACAGTAGTTGCCTGAATAAGGTAGGTTCTTATTAAAGATAGGATATTTTCTTTAATACAAAATAGCAAAATGAATTAAAAAAATATGTGAATGAAGTGTTGTGGTTAATCAGAGTAAAGTGCAGATTGCAAATGAGGATGTATGAAGTAAACAGAAGCAGAGAAATGAACAATTGAGGGCTAAAGAGCTTAACAAACGTGTGTTCTATGTTCAATCTATATCAACATGAAATACTGAAAAAGATGTGCAGATAAGGAAAAAGCCAATGGCAGAAATTTAAAATATGTCACTGAATGTAACCTGCAAGATTCTTGCAATCATTAGTGAGATGTTGGTTTAATATGCTGCAACTGATAAGATGTTTTCTCAAGAGCAGAAATAATGTTAGAGAAGTACTGTGGGAACAAAGACCCATCTGATAGTAGACAAAGCTAGATCGATAGATCAAAAAGACTGCCTGAATGCATATAACAAAATTCACACAAATGGATTACAGGAGTGCTTGAACTGGTATAAAAATAACCATTATTGATGGAATTTATATGAAGTATAAATGGTAAAGTATATGCTGGATCTGGAGCAATATTACTGGCAACATAATACCATAATACTGGCAACTATAATCATTTAAGACAAAAGCAAATCTTGGGATTTTCCAAGATGACTTTTTCGTATTTGGGCACGTCTACTGGACATTCCTCCCACCCTTCCACTGCCAACAAACAAGCTCTTGTCCACTTGCTCTGGCTGGCGTGAACAACCGACTGGCAAGTAGGCAGATTCCATTGTTGTGAGCATGAACATAACTAGAGTCAAGCTTGGAGAGCCTGAGAATTATGCTGTGGGCACTCAGGTTAGCTCTGAGCTGCTCAGGACCATCCCTAAACTTCCTGCTCTACCTTATTGCTGGTCCTTGGAAAATAAGAATGGACGGAGTGTATTTTGTCAGCAGCAGACCTGCAGTCAAGATAGAAGTAAAATAAACTTGGTCTTTTTTATATCCCTATTTCTGTTGCCTCCAAAGAGAAGATATAAAAGTAAGGTCTTAAGAAGGGAGGCCTATTTCATATCTGTTTTATGAGGATGACCCATTTTATGTCAGAATGAGGCAGAGATGTATTCACTGATTAAAATGATTTGTTTTTCAAAGAATAGGAGTGCCATTTGGCTTAAAGAAATGTTGTAGCAGATAGAAATGGATCATCAGAAGTTTTGGACATTATGAGCTAAATACTATTTCAGCTTTATACACCTAAGCAGCATGTTAAATGGGGAGGAGGAAGAGGACCCTCTCATCATTTTAGCTCAATAACCTAATCCATTAACCAGTTGCCCGGGAATGGAAGATCTAGGTTTAAAAACCCCCTCACTTTCAGAGAGTTTGAACCTGCTTCTACCACTTCCCAGTAATGTTTTCCAGTTAACAGGCCATAGGCTAGACACTGCACAGAGGGCTTTCCAGTCCTCCTCTTAAAGTTGGCCCACTGAACAGCCAAAAGGGAAGATATGTGGAGGAAGGAGAAAAAAAGCAAGTGAGAAGAAGTATGGCTCAATGAAGTGACCAAAGGCAAATGGGATCAGCCCCAACAGAAAATGAAGAATATCTGGGGCATGAAAAGAGTAAGTATAATACTAGTCATTTCTGATGTGTTGAGATACCATGATAGGGGATACCACAGCCATGCTGTGTAATTTTGAAGTTTACACTCTTATAGGGTCATGGATCCTTCAAAGGGCAATATTGATGGGCATCTCTAAAATAGTGAGAAAGGTGAAAACATTCTAAATGCTGATGCTAATAATGCAACTATAATTGTATTCAGATAATTTGTTTATATTGGATGGGAGGGAAAGAACA